TTCCATCTGTAGCAATTTTTGTTTAATTATATTATTAATTTTTAAATGTGATGTCACAAAATTTAGACTACTCCCAACCTTTGTCGCAGAATGTCACAGTTTGTCACCCCCTCTCTTAACATGTGACATTTATAGATCGTCCCTTACCCACACGTGAGTCAGCTCTAAGCTTAAGACCTTATGTAAAATCTACAATAGTCGCTCTTTCATTTATTTGTTTAAAAGAGCAACACAAGTTTCTTGCTTATTCTTCTTGTGATGAATCTGCATTCCGAATAAGCGGTAGAATAAAAAAGACTTGACTATTCAAAATTGCTCATATTAAGTTTATTTGAATAAAGATTATTTCTATTTCTATTTGAATCTGTAGCAATATTGTGTTCAAAGATAGCGTTCAAAACTATAGGAATTCGTTTAAAATTCCTTCTGGTGACTTCGAGAGGGTTGCATGCAAGTCAACGACTCTTTGGCTGTGTGCCAGGATGCAGCAGGGTGCCGGTCAGAAAATATCGTCAGATGGGGACATCTCGACGAACATTTCTTGCTATTTTAAGTGTGTCCACACTGTAAGGTTACGATACGGACTAGACAGTTTATTACTCATTCACGAGATTCAAGAGCATAGTAATGAAGTACCGAAGTCTCTAGAAGAGATCTTTTTTTTTGAGGCTTGATAATGGAATGGTGCACCCGCCTGCGCTAACAGTTTACCCTGGCAGGGCACCAGTGAAGGATGATAAAATGAGCGTGACGTCAGGTCAGTTAGCCTATCGTGACAGGTTAATCAGGAATTTGTCACGATGGTTTCCAGGGGGAACCGCGTGGAGGTCAATCTGACATGGTACATTGCTAGCAATAAGATTATCAATCCACTTTCCCCCCTATAAAGTATATTCTATATATCTATAAGATTTTGAGCAATAATACAGATTCATTTTTAAATTCCAATTTGTGAGAATAGAGTGACCATCAACATATGATATTGCAAAAGCAAATAGTCTAATCAGTGTTTGTAACCTGTAAGTTTTTTATAGAAAAACTTAAAATCCATAGCGCTGACAATATTATCTGATTGCACTAATAATGAGTGCGTAGAGGTTTCTATGTTGATTATCGCATGCCTCTTACTTGTTATACTGTAATTATTTATATAAAAAAACATCTATTCAAAAGAGCAACCAACAATTTTCTTGCTCATTCTTCTTGTGATGTATCTGCGTTCCTAATGAGTGGTAGGATCAAAAATATAACTATTCAAAAGTGCTTGTAGTGAGTTTATTTGAATAAAGATTATTTCTATTTCAATTTGTTTAAAAAAATCACATATTTGTCTGTCTGTTTGTATTTGCAGGCAATCGTTAACCTCGTGTTTATTGTGTTACTATTTTAGTGATTCCTTGAGCTCTCCGTGTATCTAATACTAAGGTAAATGAACTATTCCATACACATTTGTAACATATAGGTTCATTCATAATAGTTATTTATTTAATATATATATAGTGCACGCATGCACGGGATTTTCATTTAATGTTAGACATAGACACCTATATAAATATACATCGTAAATAAATGGCTTTTAAAAAAAAGATTCAATAGAGTTTCTTGCCAGTTTGTCTCAATTGGATCTATATACTGAACTGGACGGTAGGGAAAAATTAAAATGTAAAAAAAAATTACGTTTATAAGCGGCTAAAATGTCCTACATGAATAAATGATTTTTGAATTTGAATTTATTTTTTTGAAAGACTATTTAGGGGGTGTCCACAAATTATGTGAGGGGTTTTATTTGAATTTTCTGTATAGTGAGATGTCGTGATATTTCATTCAACCCCCTTTACATCCCCAAATCTCAGGTGAGATTTTTCAAAATGTAGGTTTCTTACGTATGTTGGATTGTTAATGTAAAAAGAAAAAAAAATTTGCTTCGTGCTTTTATTTACGACTAGTTAAGACTAGTAATTAATATTGCTGAGAGTTATAAATGTATAAGTGTAATAAACATGTACAATCGGGATTAAATGGACCAAAGTAAGATAGTTTTTTTATTGTTTTAATATAAAAAAATTGCGTGATATCTGCCGAGACGCTCCCTCTCTCTAACGTAAGATTAGATGAGATTTCTCTCGACCCCCTCCACATAAACATATCCTGAAAGCCTTCGTTTCCTTTTATCCTTACTATATACTACACATCCTATGTGGTTGTAGCCCTCTCATGTATAAACGAAATATCTCCTTTGGAAAGTTTACACTCTATCCTGAGGAGATAAAAATCATCGCTCCTAAGAATATCCTTCAATTCTTGTCCCTGGCGGGTCTAGGTAGCGAACTTTGAAAAAGGGCGAGCACAATAGATCCATGTAGGTCGCAGTGTTACAGGTCGAAGCAACTGATAAAAGCCCAAACTATAATTTTAAATTAGTTTATGTATTCTGATGTACAAGCTATATTACTGTAAAGTTTCATTAAAATCCGTTCAGTAGTTTTTGTATGAAAGAGTCAAACATCCATAATCACAAACTTTCGCGTTTATAATATTAACTAGCTTTTGCCCGCGGCCTCGATCGCATTAATTTATCCCCTTAGGGGTAGATTTATTAAAATTATTTCTTAGACAATACCTACGTCATAGTAGTTTTATGCATGCAAAGTCTCAACCCGATCGGTTTAAAATTGACAAAGTTTCATACAAACTTTATCTCCTATTTTATCCCCTTAGGGGTAGAATTAATCAAAATCCTTTCTTAGCGGATGGCTATGTCATAACATCTACCTGCATGCCAAATTTCAGCCCGATCCGTCCAGTGGTTTGGACTGTGCGTTGATAGATCACTATGTCAGTCACCTTTGAGTTATATATGTATATTTAGATATGATATAATTAAAATTACAAAATACAAGAAATTTGTGTTGTTTTCAAATTTCAAGGTATTACGTAGGAATGGAATTTTTATGCAATAATTATTAAAATATATTTGTTTACAATATGTTTATGAGGATTCTTACATGACCGTTCTATTAAATTGGAAGGTTATAATATAAAATAAAAAAAATATAATAAAACAGCATGTGAACAATTTCCATAAATATCTATACATATAAATAAAATTGGAGTGTCTGTTTGTAATATTGAAATAACAGTTTTTTACTACATGCATGTGTATATAAATACGGTACATACACAAAAATAACATTTTTTACAATTTATGACTAGACAGACAGTCTGTACCGGTTAATCTCTGAAATGGCTAGACCGATTTTGACGTAACTTTTATTGGCAGGTAGCTGATGTAATAAGGAGTGAATTTTACTTTTATTTAAATTTTACTTTACTATTATTATTTTTTATTTTACTACTTTTATTTTAGAAAAATAAAGTTATATTCCACGCGAACGAAGTCTCGTGTACAGCTAGTATAAGAATATTTCAGTCAGTCAGTCAGTCAGCTAGTCTACACTAATATTACAATACTAACTGCGACCGCGGTTTCACTCGCGTGAAAATTATATTTAATGCATACGAAAGTATTCATTCATTCATAATTTAAGAGCTACGCTCTTGTCGGTGGAGCTCTTGCCACTTTACGCGATCTTCCATCATGCTCTTTAATTCTTGATACGACACGACTCCCATTTTGTCCTCGATTTGTATATATCAATTTGTACGAAAGTATACACTGTACATATATAAGTAAAATGTATGACTGTCTGTTTGTTCTTGCTAATCTCTAAAACGGCTGGACCTATTTTGACGGGACAGTCGCAGATAGCTAATGTTATAGGGACTACTTTACTAGAATATTTTTACTTTAGAATAAATAATTCAAATCTAAATATATATAACTCAAAGGTGACTGACTGACATAGTGATCTATCAACGCACAGCCCAAACCATCGGGCTGAAATATGGCATGCAGGTAGATGTTATGACGTAGGCATCCGCTAAGAAAGGATTTTGATTAATTCTACCCCCAAGGAGATAAAATAGTGGATGAAAGTGTGTATAAATCTTCTTAGATTTTCGACTGATTGAACTGTAATAATAAAAAAGTGACTTAGAATTAAAGTTTATTTTAGAAATAATAAATATTATAAAAAAAATTACTTAGACCACTTTTTTTTAATAAATTTCCACGCGGGGTCATCGGTAACAGCTAGTGTAGTATAAAATTATTCAATGAGTTTATATTTGTATCAATTTCTCATTCAATATCAATAGTGTTACACAAATATACATAAACAATACTAGCAGTGGCCCCCGGTGTCATCCACAGTAGTGCCAATTTTTTTATGTTTGATAATGGAATGGTGCACCCGCATGCGCTAACGGTTTACGCTGGCGGAGCACCAGCGGAGGATGATAAGATGAGCATGAGGTCAAGTCAGTTAGCACATCGTGACAAATTGACCAAGAATTTATCATGATGGTTTCCAGGGGGAACCGCGTGGAGGTCAACCTGACATGGTACATTGCTAGCAATAAGATCATCAGTCCATATTACTACCAGTCCCCATTCCCTCTTCTATATATGTTATATATGTATTTACAAAATATATCTATGTATTTGTATCAGTTGTCTAGTACCCGTAACACAAGCTTTAGCTAGCTTAACTTGGGTCTAGATGGCGCTGTGTGAATTGTCCTGAGATTATTATTAACTTCCTGCCGAGGTTTTCTCACGGGACTACAGCATGGGGTTTTTCAAGAAGGGTATATTAAGGTTTATAAGGGTCGGCAACGCGCACGTGACACCCCTGGTGTTTCAGGCGTCCATAGGCTACGGTAACCATTTACCATCAGATGGGACGTATGCCTGTTTATCACCATAGTAGTATAAAAAAAATATATAAAAAGATTTTTAGTAGTTTTCCATATTCGTACGTCCAGATAAACAGACTGTTCTAAGTTATGTATATTAGTATAAATAAATAACTAATTAAATCAGTAAGTTGTTTACAAAGATGCCTTGGGACATTCCATCTGTAGTTGTTTGTGTTTGTCTCTCGATGTGAACACACCTCCGTAACAGAGACTCAATAATTTTGATTAAAAAAAAATTATGCAATCAATTTTGTTTGTTGAGTTTGTTACAAGTGTATGCAGTAAGGGGATTGTATTGTGATTTGTTATCCAATTTGAAAATAGGTGAGTTATTGGATTTTTTGCGATTTTTTTATACGTCTTACATGTGAAAGGTGAGAGGTATTTTTAATGGATGATAGCTGTACTCGCGACTATGTCCGCGTGGAATTTAAGATAGATAGATAGAACATAGAATATACTTTATTTGTAAAGAAATGGCAGAATTTAAATTTATTTTTCTAAAATAAAAGTAGCCTAAGTTACTCCTTATTACATCAGCTACCTGTCAATAAAAGTCCCGTCAAAATCGGTCCAGCCATTTTAGAGATTAGCCGGAACAAACAGACAGACAGACAAAAATTGTAAAAAATATTATTTTGGTGTATGTACCGTATTTATATTCATATGCATATAGTAAACAACGGTTATTTCAATTTTACAAACAGACACTCCGAATTTATTTATATGTATAGATATACAGATTATATACATATTAAGTAGGTCTTAGAATCGGCTATCTATTTTTCATACCCTTAAGTGATAAGGGTTGCGGGACCTTCACATTTTTTTTATATATGTATACATGTATAGATAATGTAATGGTGCACCCTCCTGCGCTAGCGGTTTACGCTGGCGGGGCACCAGTGGAGGATGATAAGATAAACATGAGGTCAGGTCAGTTAGCACATCGTGAGAAATTCACCAAGAATTTATCAAGGTTTCTAGAGAACCGCGTGGAGGTCTCGACATGAGCAATGGAGTCACTAAATCCCAATACTAACTATCCCCTCCTCTGGGTGCTAGATAATAAAAATAAATAACCCTGGACAATTAACACAGCGCCATCTAGTCCCACGGTAAGCAAAGCTTGTGTTATGGGTACTAGACAACTGATATAAATAAATAAATAACCCTGGACAATTAACACAGCGCCATCTAGTCCCACGGTAAGCAGAGCTTGTGTTATGGGTACTAGACAACTGATATAAATAAATAAATAACCCTGGACAATTAACACAGCGCCATCTAGTCCCACGGTAAGCAGAGCTTGTGTTATGGGTACTAGACAACTGATATAAATAAATAAATAACCCTGGACAATTAACACAGCGCCATCTAGTCCCACGGTAAGCAGAGCTTGTGTTATGGGTACTAGACAACTAATATATTTAGATATTGTTTTGTAAATACATACATAACATATATAAAAGAGGGAAAGTGGATTGTTAGTAATGTGGACTGATGATCTTATTACTAGCAATGTACCATGTCAGGTTGACCTCCACGCGGTTCACCCTGGAAACCATCGTGATAAATTCCCTGTAAATTTGTCACCATGTGCTAACTGACCTGACCTTATGTTAACCTTATCATCCTCCACTGGTGCCCCGCCAGCGTAAACCGTTAGCACAGACGGGTGCACTATTCCATTACCACTAAAAAAATATAAATACAAAGCACACAGACCGATACAAACAATCATACTTATGAATACAAATGTTTGTACTGTGCGAGGAATCGAACCCGCGACCATCGGAAGTAAAGCGGTGTGCTAAACCACTAAACCAACGGCCGTCAAAAAGAGTTATTTTATAAATTGTTTTAGGATGTCTACTCTGGAAGAACTAGCGGTGAAGCTGTATGATGCAGGCGCAGTGCAGTTGGGGGATATAGAGGCAATGAACGGAAGGTGGACCCCAGTGTACTTTGACTTCAGAGTTATTGTATCCCACCCACAGATTATGGTAAATATTTATTTTATGTTCCTAACTAGCTGTGCCGGCGATATCAGTCACGTGAAATTTATAGGATACGATGTTATTTTCCTTGGTGTTTTTTTAATACAAATAACTTTTAAAATGTAAGTGTGGTGTGGAACATCTATTTAAAAGAGCAACACACAAGTTTCTTGCTCATTCTTCATGTGATGAGTCTGCATTCCGAATGAGTGGTAGAATCAAAATATGACTATTCAAAAGTGATTGTAATGAGTTTATTTGAATAAAGATTATTTCTATTTCTATTGAACCCATGCTATCTCTCATCATATAGCTCTCTACAATTTAAGAAAAAAATAGTAATTTTTGTTTATTAGTAACTATCTACCCAGTTACTCACCCCGGCTTCGCACGGGTGTACATGTATTATATATATAAACCTTCCTCTTGAATCACTCTATCTATTAAAAATAACCGCATCGAAATCCGTTGCGTAGTTTTAAAAATTTAAGCATACATAGGGACAGACAGCGACAGCGACTTTGTTTTATACTATGTAAGTACTTAGTGATTTATGCGTGTGTTATTGAAGGAATCGAAACGATATCCATGCCATTACAATTTAAGAAAAAAATATTAGCAATTGTTTTTAATACCTTAATAATTTTTCCTTAAACCTACAGATGGCGGTAGCAGAACACTTACAGAATTTAGCGACGGAAATAAACCACGATATACTCTGCGGAGTACCATACGCTGCTCTACCATTAGCAGCTGTTATGTCCATAAACACTAACACGCCAATGATTATGAAAAGGAAAGAAACAAAGTTATACGCAACAAAGAAAACTATCGAAGGAGTTTATACGAAAAACCAGAATTGTCTCGTGGTTGAGGACGTAGTGACATCTGGCGGGAGTTTGCTAGAAACAATTAGCAGTTTGCGCGACGCCGGCTTGAAAGTAACGCACGCCGTTGTAGTTCTGAATCGTGAACAAGGTGGCGCTAGTGTGCTAAAAGCAAATGGCGTCGAATTGAGACCACTGTTCGATTTAACGAAACTAGCACAAATATTAAGTGATGCCGGACGATTTAGCCACGAAACGGTCAATATTATAACTGAGCACATAAAAGTGTGTCAGTTTGGTGAAAAAGACAATTTCTTTTGTTAAAAACTTTTTTTTTTATAACACAGGACAAACGAGCTGACGGCTCACCTGATGGTAAGTGATTCCCGTCCATTAGCACCCGCAACACCAGGGGAATTGCAAGTACGTTGTCGGCCTTTTAAAAAGGAATAAGCTCTTTTCTTGAAGGTTTCTATATCGTATCGGTTCGGAAATACCATTGCTGGAAGGTGATTCCACAATGTGGTTGTGCGTGGCAAAAAGCTTCTAGAAAACCGCACTGTGGAGGACCGCCGTTCATCCAGATGATCAGGATGGTATTTTAGTATCTGGCGGGTGGTACGGTGGTGACTCAGCAGCTGGTATTAATCCGAACAATTCCTCAGAACACTCCCCGTGATATATGCGGTAGGAAATGCACAGAGATGCAATATCTCGCCGCAAAGCCAATGGGTCGAGTCTGTCACATAGACGTTGATTACCAATGATTCTGGCTGCTCGGTTCTGAAAACAAAACTATTGTAGTTTTTGTAGAATATATTAAGTATTAATTACTTTTGTACCTAATTATATATAAAATAGCTTTATGAATAATATTAATTAGATAATAAAACATTTTAGATTTTAAACATCTTCTGACGGCATCCGTTTGGTAATTTTGTCGTAAAAGACTTTCATTGAGTAAAATCTACACTTTACTTTAAAATTTATATTTTACTAGCTGTAATCGTCTGGAATTTAACTTTATATTTCTAAAATAAAAGTAGCCTAAGTTACTTAAATAAAATTGGAGCGTCTGTTTGTAATATTGAAATAACAGTTTTTCACTACATATGTACACTTGAATATAAATACAGTACAAATCAGAAATAGAGAATCACAAAAGGACAAATACAGAATCACAAGAGGAATCGAACCCGTAATCATCGGAAGTAAAGAGTGGTAGACGGCTACTAAACCACAGAGAACTAGCTATATAAAATAAATAGAATCGAAATTTAAAAATAAAAGGAATCGAACCCACAACTATAGCGAGTAGAGACTGTTAAACAGCTAGACCACTGGGGATTAGCTATCTATAGATATAAATAAAATTGGAGTGTCTGTTTGTAATATTGAAATAACTGTTTTTACTACATGCATATGAATGTACCTAAATACCGTACATACCCCAAAATAACATTTTTTACAAATTTTGTCTGTCTGTCTGTTCCGGCTAATCTCGATATGGCTGGACCGATATTGACGGGACTTTTTCTGGCAAGTAGCTGATGTAATAAGGAGTAACTTAGGCTACTTTTATTTTAGAAAAATAAAGTTAAATTCCACGCAGACGAAGTCGCGTGTACTGCTAGTTATTAGTATATACAGTCGCATAAAGTAATTAGTCAAAAATAAAATCTATTTAAATATTTATAAACATTTTTAATTTTAATTTTAATTCTATAATCATCTGCTTCTTCCTTATCCCATTTATTGTGGTCGTCGTAATATGCTTTTCTCTTCCTTTCATCCCTGTTCGCAGTCATCTCGTTATTCACTTCCTTTCTTACGATATCATCTTTCACACAGTCCATCCATTTCTTTATCGGCCTTCCTCTGCCCTTATAACCATCCACATTCATATGTAACACCTTCCTTAAGATATGATCTTCATTCCTACATGTTAGCTTCAATGTATACAGAACGTAATTAATTGCTTACATTTTAAATTTAAAACCATAGAGTAAGAATATTATTGTGATGTTTTCTTTTCATATGATAATCAAGTACATCTGCATCGAGCTATTATTTCAAATCTTCCCAATATACGCATTACATGACCATACCACAATAGTGACCATAGCTTAAAGTCTAATGAAAGATTTTTTTTTTTGCAAAAATAAATATTTAACTGCTGATATTTTAAAAAGCAAAACTATAATAAATAAAAAATACAATCTACACAAAACAAAACTTCTAAGTTAAGAGTCGACAAATAGTAAAATTAAATTTGGAAGGATTAAAAGTTCAAATAACCATGAATATCCGGTTTAAAACAAAACGCAGTAATAGTGTTGCAATAGTTATATTAATGTGTAGTAAAATTCAAGTAATTAATATAATCAGGTTCTTAGTAAAAAGTATTTGATAAAATTGTACTGTTGACAATCAGTAATTAAGAGGCATGTGTATTTTAAAAACCCAGGACGCTGACAAATATCTATTCAGGACTTTCCAGGACACTTCAAAAACTAGGACATGTCCTGGGAAAACAGGACGGTTGGTAACTCAAATTTAAGTTGAACAATAAAAGAATATCGAAGTAAAAAGCTTACCAAAAGCCAGACATGCAATCAAAAAGCCTATTCGGACATCTGGCAACCCTATACAGACTATACTATACAAATACTAACTGATACCTATCCCAAGTTACAATTGTTAGGGTTCACATTGATATTATCGAAAAATCTGATATTTTAAAAATATAAAAGAAGGTAGTTTCATTATTACTCGGTATCGTTAAACTAGTTGCGTATAACCCCCACTCATATCTTCTCTGTATAAAAGGGAGGGTTTTTGTAAGCCACGGCCCCCCTCCGATCGATCCCCCGTCCAATTCAAACAGAGATCGAAATTACGACGGCCTGAGCCGAGGCTCGAACCCCTAGTGGTGCCCTCAGACTAAAGTCGTATCCGTCAGGCAGGAGTTGGCCTTCATCCGCTCCATAAGTCCTTCCTTTGGTTTGGAGTGCCATCTGCACTCGCCCCCTATCGTCCGGTGAAGCTGTAAAGGCCAGCTGTGGCCGACAGCATTAGAGTAGTCCGAAAAAAAAGAAAAGAAAAGAGCCACGGCAAAGTGCTGGTTGTATTTTAATTGCTAAAGTGAATTGTGTTAGAGACATAGTTAAATTAATGCTATATAGTTGTTATTTTATTATAATACATACCTACAATGTACCTATAACAATAATTTTATATTTTGTCCTTGTACTACCTACTGGCAGTCTGAAAAACAAATATCAAAGAACTATGTCAGTATGATTCATCATGTGTTTTGATTTTAATTATATGAGTTACTTTGTATATATGTCAACATATTTTATATAGTATACTGTTTCCTTCTATTACAGTTACAGTTACTTCTATTACATCCAGTAGGTACACAGCCAGCTGGTAATCAATGCTCCTTTCCACTCAGAAGCTGGAAGAGAACTCTTACAGTGTTAAGCTCGCCTATTGTACATTTTTATTTAATATAAATTATGTTTGTAATTTTTTTTGTGTACAATAAAGAATAAATAGAATTCATTTTGAAGCCAACCAAATATAATTTATCTCAATAATACTAGAGATGTGCTAACTCGTAATAAACATGACTCGAGTTAACTCGAGTTACCTGGAATAAAAAGTTTATTTTTTATTTTTTGTCAATGTTTTTGGTCGCATATAATCATGAAATGGCACTTTAAAGCCGCGGAAGGACTTATGGAACGCATTATCATTTTAATAATAACATAATCGGACGTATATGCGAAAAATGATAACCTCAAATCAATATTGAAACATTTGTGACGAGTGAAAATTGTATGATATGCAATGATCGGAAAATTTCATGTCATTGTCAGTTCGATGACAGAATCATGCTCTCGCTCTTTCACTTGATTCATTCATTTACCAGTCGAATTCTTCATACTCGAGTTGGCAGAATTCAACTCGAGTTGACACATCTCTAAATAATACTCTTAAAGGACAGAGCTTCTGTGTAGGTGGAAGTATGGTCGTGTTTATGTACTCAAGACCTACACCGATTTTATGATTCATTTATTGTTATTATGTATAATGAATCAGCATTCGATTTTGTAACGCACAACACATCTAGAATCGCGGACCATCGATATTGAAACCTTCAAAAATAACCTTATTCCTAAAAGGCCGGCAACGCACTTGCAATGGAAAAGAATATACTCAGTCTATATTCATTTTGACCACAGAATAACAATAAATCGCACTATTCCTGGAAAAAGGAAGTAATTTTCACCAACTTTTCAGGAGCTTAAAAAAACTGTCCTATATTTTTTGTATGAGTTCTATAAATAAGTATCAAGAAAAATCGTAGGTCACAGTTGCCTTCAACTACATGTGTTATTTAATTTAGGAACAGCTTAATGTACTTTCAGATAATCTAAAAAAACACGGTTACTTCTGTATTTCACGAAACACAAAGAACATTTGCAGGGGTATATTATTGCTTTTTTGTTATGTATTTTGAAATATATGAACAAATTTAACTCTACTTACGCCTTTATACTCTTCTATATTTCATTATAATCTAGAGTTGCAAGTATAATTACGTTGTTATTTAACGGAAAATCATTTTTTGTACATCGAGTTACGTATTTCTAATATTTATTTTAGTTTAGTTAGTGAATTTATAAAAATAGCTTTTATAATGCGGAAAGTAACTGAATATTTAATTTGTATCATGTAATACCTACTTCTTATAGTAAATAGTCCATTATGTGCGTGCATGTAAGTGAAAAGTATAAATATAGGGACAAATTAATTTAGAGAATATGAAAACAAGCAGGGTTATTATTAATTTTTTATTATTTTTAAAGAAATGTTTATTGCCTCCATAATCAGCTTAATCAAAAAATGTTAAAAATAGTGATATTTTTATTATTTTTATTAACCTTCATTATCCTTAACTTCGGAATCGGACTCTGTGGTAGCAGATTTAGCACTTAAGCTGTTATAAAACCTCTAATAGTGTGGTGGTATGTTATTATCTTTATATAGATTCATCAAGTCTTTGTATATATTTTAGATATCGGTAGCGGCGCATCATACTAATGCCTGAGTTCAGAAGGCTCGCTGTGTGCATCTTTTTTCTCATAACTCTTCCGCTTCTATTTGTCTACAATGATTAGTGTCTCCTCAGCGAATGCGTATTTTATTTGGAATTTCCCCGAACATTGAGGATCTGCCGAAATCTCTTTAATGTTACTCAACTCGTGTAGTAAATATATTAGGTCCTAACATATGAAATTTCTAAGGGAGTAACATGTGCCAATTTCAGTTGATTTTTTAAAATACAATATATTTATTTGATCAAAATATAGTCCATTGCTATTTATGCACTTTTGCCATTTGATAGGTAGTCTTCCCTTTACTAAAAAACCATTAGGACGGGAATCGATAAATCGGACTTCAATTTTTAAATTATCCAAATTTTGAAAGAAACAGCAAGATCCGGGAAGTACGGTGGATATATTGGACATTTGAAGCTCTTCTAATTTCGTAACGTTGTGCTGAAGCAGCAGTGGCCTACGGTGATTGACCAGTCTCGGTTGTTTAGCAGCTAGCTTTTCCATCATGGTTTGCAATTGCTGACAATTCACATCTGCCGTAATCGTCTGACCAGATTTAAGAAAGCTGAAGTGAACAACACAGACACTAGTCCACTAAACGCTCACAAGTAACATTCTTTGAGTTTGAATTTTCGCTTGGGGCAGGATTTGGTTGGTTTGCTAGGATTCAGACATTGCGATGAGTGTTTCATTATCGTACAAGATTCACTTTTCATAACAAATGATTCGATTTAAAATCCCTTTTATTATGCCGGTTGGCTAATGTAAAGAATTTGTTCCATTCAATTCATGATTCACCTTTCATTTTTCACCTTCCCAATTTGCTTCAAATATTAAAACAGTTTTGTTACTAACACTGCAGCCTGCATTAACTAGTGGTTAGATGGATCCGCTTCTCACATTAGCCTTTAATTCTTCATTATCAACCTTGGACTCTGGCTGCTCACGGGGCTTGTTTTGCAGATCGAAATTTCCAGAACGAAAACATTGAAACCGAATACGCACTGTGTTTTCTTTTACGACACCATCACCATACACATTATTAATTCTTCGAGTCGTTTATGCACACTGGTGCCACGACGGAATTCTAATGCGATTTTTTTGTTTTCCATTTTGTAAACTGAGTGACGTAAAGAAAAAACCAAAGATGGAAAAAACATATGGATTACGATTTTCGAAAAACAAATGCATGAGTAAATAACTGTACAAATTTGAAATTTGAATTCCGGGCGAAAGAGGAGATATTTGAGATCAAAGTGAACGACAAAACAGCAATTATCCTAATATTATAGTACCATCTCTCAAGGTTGGAGTAACATTTTCATAATCTGGGTTTTTCTTAATGCACTATAAGTATAAACGATGCATTTTAGCGCAATTATGCTTTTCATCTAGAATTTATCATTGTTAGATTGCGGAGATAATGCGATTCTTTATGTGGAAACATATTAATTTGATCAATGACATTTTTGGTTTACTACTTATTTTGATTGGTCTATTAGTATGTTGACCTTGCTGATCAACACAAGTTGAAATTATGATGATTAGTACTTTAATAGTTTTCAGAAATCTTAATCTTAATATAATATTCTAAACGCGAAAGTTTGTAAGTATAGATCTTTGTTGCTCTTTCACGCAAAAACTACTGAATGGATTTTTACGAAACTTTACACTACTTTACATCTGAATAACACAGGATATATTTTTTATTGAAATTTAACGCGGGTGAAACCGCGGGCACAGCTAGTAATTTATAACAAAGTAACGTTTGCGGGATCAGCTAGTATCTATTATGAGCAGTGGGAATTAATATTGAATATTATTGCTAGCAGTATAAGGTACATTCAGTTCTACGCGATCCATCTTGGAAACCATCGTAGTTAATTCCTATTAGACCTACGATAAGATTCACTGCCAATTGTATATTCGTTTATCCATATTTAAAATAGAAGTATACTTTTTATCTATTGTTTTTATATACACTTCTATCAATTCGCTCTGCTTTGGTAAATGTCTTAAAGCAGATCGATTTTGCATCATTTATTATTACTATGCCTGGCAAATTCACCTGATCTCCTGATCATCCATCATTGGTGCGCCGTCAGATACAATTAGCTAAAAATAGTTTATTTTTTACTCAATTTTAATTACATGAACGTATTCATAATTTTTTTCTTGTAAATAGCATGTATTCAAAATTACCCAACATCAGGTATGAAATGTTACGTGTAATAAAGAAGTAACTACAACTACACTTTACGCATTGTGAAGGCTGGGCGGAAAGTATGTAACAATAATCACACATAAACTATCAGCTAAAAGTTTCGTAGAAGAAGAATCCTAGATTGTAAGATATAGGAACAAGTATTTAAGTATATTTACGTTATACATTTTCTTGTAAATCTTCTTTTAAAATTTACGTAAATACAATTATGACTTTATGAGCAGGATAATTGTAAAGCGAATAAATAAATATGCATACCTCTATTTTATGCTGGAATTTTATGTTTTCTAAAGTCGCAAAATTTTAGAATTTTTGCATTTATTCCTTCATTTTTGTCGATAGCTTCATGAGATTTTGACAATAAAACAAAAGATTATTTATAATAAAACATGTTTGTAGGTATTTGTTTTAAGAGTAGCTATCTGTACACGATTTGTTCACAGACTTTAAAAATAAACAAAAGACTATATAATAAGTGTATGCATAAATAAAAAAAAAATCATCGAATCACAATTCGTAAAGGTAAACAATATGTAGGTAAATGATATAAGATAAATAATAAGAATCTACACTCATTTTGAATACAGACTTCATTACATAGTATAAAACAAAGTCGCTGTCGCTGTCTCTCCGTCCCTATGTATTCTTAAATCTTTAAAACTACGCAACGGATTTTGATGCTGTTTTTTTTCATAGATAGTGATTCAACAGGAAGGTTTATATATATAATACATGTACACCCGTGCGAAGTCTGAGCGAGTAGCTAGTTAACAATAAACAAAAGAGTATATAATGAGAGTGTAGGTACGTTTTAATTTAATGTATTTTTTATGCAATAATTAAAAATAATGTGATCAGATCAGAATTTGAAACTATAAACAATATGTAAATGATATAATTATATAACTTTAGACTTCCGTTATAAAAAATAAATATTTGCAAAAGAAATCAGTTATACATTCTTTTCGGTATATTTATTTCATCGTGATCTTTTATTTCCTCTATACATATAAATAAAATTGGAGTGTGTTTGTAATATTGAATTAACAGTTTTTTACTACATGCATATGAATATAAATACGATACATACACCAAAATAACATTTTTTACAATTTTTGTCTGTCTGTTTGTTCCGGTTAATCTCTGAAATGACTGGAACGATTTTGACGGGACCTTTTTTGGCAGGGAGCTGATGTAATAAGGAGTGACTTAGGCTACTTTTATTTTAGAAAAATTAAGTATAATTCCACGCGGACAAAGTAGAGGTAACAGCTAGTAAGAAATATGTTCATATATTTTTTATCAACTTGTTTTTTAATTCCATATCTTTACTGCTTCCTCTTTATTATTGTAATCCATACACACAACGGTTCAACATCCGTTCTGTAACGGATTTCAAACCAAGTACGATTAAGCAGCCGCCATTACGCGAAGTCAACGAAATATAAACATAACTATAGTTAACATTTCAACAAGTAGGACGTACTTATTTGTTATGAGAATTATTTTTTATGTAATTAGAATCTACAACAAAATAACAGCGCACCGTTTTTATGGAAGACTAGCTGTTCTCGCAACTTCGTCCGCGTGGACGCTTTATATTTCTAAAAGTAGCCCAAGTTACTCCGATTACATCGGCTACTTGCCACAGAAAGTCCCGTCAAAATGAGTCCAGCTATTTCAGAGATTAGCCGCAACAAACTGACCAATAATTTTGGTGTATATACCGTATTTATATGCATGTAGTAAAAAACGGTCATTTCAATATTACAAACAGACTCCAATTTTATTTATATGTATAGATTATGGAATGATGCATACGCCTGGGGTAACGTTTTAGGCTGGCGGGGCACCAGTGGAGGATAAGGATAATACAATGAGCAGTGGCGTAACTACCTAGGGGCTAGGCGGGGCAGCGCCCCAGGGCCCTCTAACCCTTACAAGAAAATCTCGATCGAATTGAACTTTTGAAATTTTCTCCCATTTTCAAAATAAATATGGCACAGGTTGCAACCTGTTGTATTTTATTACATTTGTACAGGTAAGAAAAAAAAAAAAGAATTTGGTATATGGATAAAAATTATAGTCTGTCCACTACTGACATAACAGAAATAGAATGAAAGTAACAAACAAGAATCTACATAAGGTATTATAAATTTTGAATACAAATTTAGAATATAAAACATTTCTCATTAATCAGTTACACCACAATCCGACTTGAATCATGGCAACTCAGTTGAGAAATTCGAAATTTATACCTTCGGAAGTTCCCTAAAATCTTTCGTGCTGTCAATTTGATGGATAGCGATTGATTTGCCCCAGGGCCCTTGGTTACCTAGGGCTTACCCCCCCCCCCGTACACTGAGGGGGGGAACGGATTGTTAATAATGGGAACTAGTAATTCCTATTGCTAGCAATGTACGATGTTAGGTTGACCTCCACTGTTTCCTGGAAGCCATCGTGATGACCTGACCTCATCTTATCATCCTCCACTGGTGCCCCTCCAGCGTAAACCGTTAGCGAAGGCGGAAGCACCATTCCATTATCATCCATAAAAAACTGATGACAGATTTTTTCCTGTTTTAGACCTCTTTAATTATGACAACTGTATTGTTAACATATTTACCTCATTGTAATTAGCACGGAATGACCCCAAGCGTATATCACAGGCTGGTCTAACATGTCATCCATATAGTAAGTATTGGTAAATATTGATAAGTAGGGAAAATTTTGATTGTTAGCAATGGGAACTGACCCCACCGCTAGCAATGTACCATGTCAGGTTGACCTTCAAGCGGTTCCCCTGGAAACCATTTTGATAAATTCCCGATAAATTTGTCAGTGGGCCGACTGACCTTACCACTGGTGTCCCGCCAGCATAACCGTTAGTGTAGGCTAAAAATATTGGGTGAGTGTATAAAATAAAATCACAAAACTAAAATCATGTCATTTTATTATTCACCAGCTGGAATATAATATTGAAAAATTTCTGATAGACATCGAAAATTGTACGTCGTCGTCTTTTGTTTAAAAGACAATTACTATCACACTGGTAATATAAAAATTAAACTTAGGTATTAAAATCAAGTTCAGCCTTATAAAAAACAAAGATCTTTTCCAATATCCTGTCATCCAGTGTTCACAGCACCGCGTATTTTATATCGAAGGGTCCACATCATGCGAGGACCTGTTTATAGTGATAAACATCCTAGAGCTTCCCTTCGGGCAAGCAAACCACTGGGGAATGTAATAGTGTCAGTTACGACTGACTGGAAAAATTATACTATTGTTTAAAAGAAAATCTACGACAAGAAATGCTGATATCCCGCGGTATGCGGGCGGAGGTGGTTATATAAGTGACGGGGTAAGCAGAAAGAGGTATACATTCGAGGTTGTGACTATATTTAATTGTCCTCGATCTCCTGCTCTTGCTCCTCGTCGAACTCGGCGTCCTCGTCGGCGGTGGCCTCCTGGTACTGTTGGTATTCGGACACCAGGTCGTTCATGTTGCTCTCCGCCTCTGTGAACTCCATCTCGTCCATACCCTCGCCGGTGTACCAATGCAAGAAAGCCTTGCGCCTGAACATAGCCGTGAACTGCTCCGAGATGCGCTTGAACAGCTCCTGGATGGCCGTCGAGTTGCCGATGAAGGTAGCGGCCATCTTGAGACCGCGGGGTGGGATGTCGCACACGGCCGTCTTCACGTTGTTGGGGATCCATTCGACGAAGTACGACGAGTTCTTGTTCTGGATGTTGAGCATCTGCTCGTCGACCTCCTTCATGGACATGCGGCCTCTGAAGATGGCGGCCACTGTGAGGTAGCGGCCGTGGCGCGGGTCGCACGCCGCCATCATGTTCTTGGCGTCGAACATCTGCTGGGTGAGTTCTGGCACGGTGAGGGCGCGGTACTGCTGGCTGCCGCGGGAGGTGAGGGGCGCGAAGCCGGGCATGAAGAAGTGGAGACGTGGGAAGGGTACCATGTTGACGGCCAGCTTGCGGAGATCCGCATTCAGCTGACCGGGGAACCTGAGGCAGGTGGTCACGCCGGACATGGTGAGCGACACCAGATGGTTGAGGTCGCCATACGTGGGTGTGGAGAGTTTGAGCGTGCGGAAGCAGATGTCATACAGAGCCTCATTGTCGATACAATAGGTTTCATCTGTGTTTTCTACTAACTGGTGGACTGAGAGTGTGGCATTATAAGGTTCTACTACTGTATCTGACACTTTGGGGGAGGGTACAACTGAGTATGTGTTCATAATTCTGTCGGGGTATTCTTCTCTGATCTTAGAAATGAGGAGTGTGCCCATACCGGAGCCGGTGCCGCCGCCGAGCGAGTGTGTGAGTTGGAATCCCTGGAGGCAGTCACAGGACTCCGCTTCTTTCCGCACAACGTCTAGCACCGAATCCACGAGCTCGGCGCCCTCTGTGTAGTGTCCCTTGGCCCAGTTGTTACCGGCACCGGACTGTCCGAAGACGAAGTTGTCCGGACGGAAGATTTGTCCGAAGGGTCCGGAGCGGACAGAGTCCATGGTACCGGGCTCGAGGTCCACAAGGATGGCCCTGGGGACGTACTTGCCGCCGGAGGCCTCATTGTAGTAGACATTGATGCGCTCCAGCTGCAGGTCAGAGTCGCCATGGTAGGCGCCGGTGGGGTCGATGCCGTGCTCGTCCGAGATGATCTCCCAGAACTGTAACAAAGAAAATGATATTGTTATTTACGAATGACGTAATACGCAGTGGTAGATTGTCACTGTAGCAACCAATCTCTATATATAAAAATTACGTCACGTGTCCGCGATGGCACTTAAACTACCAAACGATTGCAAATTTGATTGGCATATTGCGTGCAAGTTGATCCAACTTGAAAGAAAGGATAGCTTACATCTCAATTTATTCAAAAATTCAAAGTATCTTTATTAATGTAGGTCTATTACAGACTCTTATGACATGTCAAATCTACCGTCAACTCTCAATGATTTCGAGATGAGAACTGACAAGAAACTCAGCTCGTATTCTTTTCAAATAAATATTTACAATAATACAGACTCATTTTTAACTTCAAATTTGGGAGAACTCTATTCTCCCAACTTATATGACTGTATTACTATATTCAAGAACCTTAGCCACAGCAACGCGTGGCCGGATCTGCTAGTTTCCGATAAAAAGAGGGAGAGAGTAGCACAGACTGGCACCGGCCGTGGAAGTAGGGATGACTCACCGGTCTCCCAGGTTACGTGGTCGGCGCAAACAGTTACACCGTCATATTAGCATATTTATAAGGTCGCTCTACTTGCTCCTTATCGATCAACCGCGCGTTATGACTGACTCCACATTGCGATAAGTTCACGTATTGTATTAATTACAGCAAAAACAGTTCCATGCGAGGGCAGACGGCCTACGGTTAATGTTTATGTAACATCGCCATATAAGTGGAGAGCGCTGGAGCAAGTTTCTTAATTCGGCGCCAATTTTAATTCCACAAATCTAGACATGGCAGTGGGTGTTTTTAAAGAGAATGACTGGCATTTCTGTATCTAAGTGATTGCCACCGAGATGGAGTCTTTATTTTAACTATATAATACATAATACAAACTTGTTCTTATTCAAAAATCATTTATTCATGTAGGAGATTTTAGTCGCTTATGAACGTAAATTTTTTTACATTATAATTTTTTCCCTACCGTCCAGTTCAGTATATAGATCCAATTGAGAAGAACTGACAAGAAACTCAATTGAATTAGTTTTTTTACTTACTAAATCGACAGAATGTTTTCGGATAATTATTTTATTTCCTAAATGTAACTGAGCAAAGCCTATTACTCACTAAACGATTATTTGAATGACGAGCGTGCATGATAATAGTTGTTCATGCATGGGATTTACATTTAATATTAGACATGCCTATATAAATAACTGGCTTTAAAAAGAACTTCAATTGAGTTTCTTGCCAGTTCTTCTCAATTGAATAAGTATACTGAATTGGATGGTACGAAAAAAAATATAATAAAAAATTCGACGTGCATAAGCTGCTAAAATGTCCTACACGAATAAATGACTTTTGAATTTAGTATTTAAGGTGTACCGTATCGTATAGTATAATATAATATAATATAGCCTAAATTCACTAACTAACTTACTCATTATTACATCAGTTACCTGCCAAAAAAAGACCCGTCAAAATAGATCCAGCCATTTCAGAGATTAGCCGGAACAAACAGACAGACATAAAAATTTTAAAAAATGTTATTTTGGTGTATGTACCGTATTTACATTAATGCATGTAGTATAAAATGGACACTCCAATTTTATTTAGATGTATAGATGTTAATATAGTACATTAAACACGTTATATGTTATATACATTAAAAAATGATCACCAAACAATGCCGTTTGGTTACTGTCCATAGTTTGCATGCAACGGTCAATGGCAGACTAAGAATTTACAAGTCATCCGTTAATATAATAGATAGATACGGCGAGCCACTTTCTATGCATTCAGTGATGGTCCGATATCAAGTATTGTTGGAGTTTCTTCAGCGAGATGTATTGCAAGATTACTAGTAATTGAAAAATTAGAAATTTTTATACATCCGTAACATTTAGACTAAGATTAGATATCAATATAGATTAGATTAATTCTGAACGATGCTCCAAATAAATACTATATTTTATTTGCAAGAATGCCTACGACAGTATCTATACCAAAAACATATTCACGATTGCTCTCTGATGTCAGATAGAGTAGTCAGAAGCACTGTCAAATGCCGGCATGACTTTCTACCGCTCATCCGGAAAGCTGTCTCATCACAAGAAGAACGAGTAAGAAACTTGCGTGTTGCTCTTTTAAATAATCATTGTAAGTTAACATTTTTCAAGTCGAAACGTGTGAATACAAACTACCAACCAGCACTAATTTATTAGGGTCAAATATAAATATACAATAAGATTAAATCAGTCGTAGTTATAAGAGCAGACCAGTCCCTACAAGCAGCACTCGTTCACGAGTATGACGGATGTGCCAGCCATCACTGCGTCTGATAAATGTTATTGAATTATTTCATTACTTAATGGATTTACATTTTGTTGATTTCCTCTAACATTAGCATGTGACCGAAATATTCAGTGAAACCTTTCTATACTTTCCTTTCGAATGACAAACATCCTCAATGCAGGAAGTTACTGTCACATTATTTTGGTGAACGTGGAGCCAGTATGGCAGCACGTCTTCATTATACGTGTCAATATGGCGCCCTGTTGGTGGACCAGCCGCAATAATAAACGGCAGGTCTTCATAGAAGCGCTTCTATTACCTTTCTAATACTAGCCGGCCCGTTTCGCACGAGTTTAGATTATAAGAGGAAGGTTTTGTATACATTCCTTTTTAATCACTATCTATTGCTGAAAACTACATTAATATCCGTCTAAGTTAACAGACAGTACCAGAGACTATACTATGTTCATCTGCTTCTTCCTTATCCCATTTAATTCCCATAAATTAATTGTTTAAGAGCTCGAAGTGTAATATATAAACATTCATGTATATGTATGTATGTATCTATATATATATAACTCAAAGGTGACTGACAGTGATCTATCAACGCACAGCCCAAACCACTGGACGGATCGGGCTGAAATTTGGCATGCAGGTAGATGTTATGACGTAGGCATCCGCTAAGAAAGGATTTTGATAAATTCCACCCCTAAGGGGATAAATTAAAGCGAGCGAAGCCGCGGGCAAAAGCTAGTTTAATTATAAGAGCCAACAGAATATCAGCGCTGCAGACTCATCTGTAGCTTCATGCTGAGTTGGTTGCCTGTTCATTCATTGCGACATAAAGCCACCTCAATTTTTTAATTTGTAATATTTATATTCCTGCATTTTTATTTTGTAAACTTTACTTCTATTTATAAAATGTATCTCAAGTATGCCATCTGTTTGTAATTGTTGAATAAAGCATTTATCTATTTATGTATCTATTTGTTTGGGGTCGGCGTACACTATGTACATATAGATTCTCGTGTCCAGTGCTTGTAACAAAATTCCACAGAAACGGCTCGACAGATTTTTATGAATAGAATAGAATAGAAAATCATTTATTCAAATAAAGTTACATTGAAGCACTTTTGAATAGTCATAACATTTTTTTTTTAATCTACCGCTCATTCGGAATGCTGTCTCATCACAAGAAGAACAAGCAAGAAACTTGTGTGTTGCTCTTTTAAATAATTTATTCTTACTTACAACTTAAGTTTAAGTGTGTGAATACAAACCACCGATTAGCACTAATTCAATGAAATAATAAAATAGAAAAAAAACATTCAATATACAGATGTTGTGCGTATATTCAATAGGTCAAAGAATAGGACGCAAAAATGACGCATACTAAGTGATAAGGGTAGCTCTCTATCCACCTACCTACCCCTACAGGAATAACAGTTCTATTGCAACAAGAATTTAATTAATAATTATCGATGACTAGAACTAGTGGTTTAATAAACCGGTTTATTTCAGATGGTTGCAGGTTTGAATCCTCACACTGCAAACATTTATATTCAAAACTGCTTACATTTAAGTTTTTTTAAGTAAATATTTTGCTACTTTTTTTTCTTGTATATTATGTATGTATTTACAAAAAATATATATCTATGTATTTATATCAGTTGCCTAGTACCATAACACAAGCTCGTTAGCTTGGGACTAGATGGCGCTGTGTGAATTGTTTTAGGTTTATTATATTTTTTTTAATTTAAACCATACATAATATTTGTAGAAAGTTCTACCACCCAAGTGGCTATGCGATGCACCAGTTTTGAGAACACCTAATGGGCATGATGCCAGACTGGAAATAAACATTTAAGCTTTTGCCGTCGTTTGATAAAAAAAGTTCCAATGGATGCAACGGATAATGGCGTCGACTTTAGACTAAATTTAGTAGCTTTGTTCACATATACATACATACAAGTGGAGTTGTAATGCTTTTTATATTTAGTTGGTATAGACAATTAATATGTCAAAAATTATAGATTTTTGCAGGACAGTAATTGTAAACTATGTAAAAATTGGAAAAAGAAAAGGTTTTTTTATCTAGATAGATAAAAAACCTTTATTTTTCCAATTGTAATAGACCAGGTCTATGTAATAGACCACGAAGTAAAGAATTACTTTTATTTTATATTGTACAATAGTTGGCATAGACAAAAGAATTATAGATTTTTGTAGGACAGTAATTGTAAACTATAATAAAGCTTTATATTTATCTAATAATAGACCAGGAAGTAACTAATTTGTTTTTTCAATATTGTACAACCAATGGTCGCGGGTTCGATTCCTCGCACTGTGCATACATTTGTATTCCGTCTGTTTTCTATGTATATTATGTATTTACAAAAATAAATTGTAAGTATTTATCAATTGTTGCTATTTATTGCATCAAATAGAATAGAAAACTGCTATTTCAGCCGTTAGTATCCGTGGGAATTTTTATATGCCCTACCTATATCTTGTTACAAAGTGTCTTATCATATATATTTCAAGTATTTATGTACATATGTATGTTGCTATCAAGATTGTATTGGACAGCCGAGAGATTAAAGCAGAATTAAAAGATTCATCAGAATATGGCATGGCAAACTAAAATTGTGGCTTTTGTTTTTTATTGTCTATGTTATGTAAGAAACCGAAACAAAA